GTAGGGTAAATTATTAATAGATTATAGGAAAATGATTTGGAGTCCTAAAAATATCCCTTAATCTCTCTAATTTTCAATTTGGGTAACTTTTTTCTTTTTTTTTTTTTACTTGATATGGAAATTAGGGGGATTAGGGGGGGTATTTTTAGGGGATGTAGCAAGACCCTAGATTTTAATAATTAGATTTAATTTTCATTAAGATTTATTGAAAATAAGTCTTAGTAAAATTATCATTAAAAATAATTTTTTTGTAATAATTTTTTATATATGTAACTAAAAATTGATAATTAGTGACTTTTTTTATTATGATTTTTGTAAATTATTGTTAGAACTTATAATTAATGAAATTTTTTTATGACAAATTTTTTTCATAATATCTATTAAACAATAAATTCACTTATTAGAACCTACACATAAGTATCCCTAAAATGTAGTCACATCTCTATCCATTTTTATTTTGAAAAATGCCTAAGACCCCCAGTGGGGGTCGTGCGTGTAGACCCGTGATTGGCTCCAAAAAAAATTATTATTATTATTATTTTTTAGCGAATGGCAGCACGCCACGTCACTGGGGTCTAAAGCAGTGCTGTTTTATTTTTGACTAATTCTATGAATCCAAATGAAAAGAATCCGAAATTAATCAAAGGTTGAAATTCATTCGGTATAGCCCCATACATATAATTTTAATTTTACACTATAAATTTAACATTTTGAGAATTTTTTGGATTTGGTTTTCATTGTTCATAAACTTTTTCTTTTTGACTATATTTTAGTTTTCAATAATAATAACTATGTTTGAGTATCATATATTTTTATTTTTACTTTTAAATATCATGTCATATGTAGTGGTATATGATATTAACCATATTGCTTTTTTGAGCTTCATAAAATATTCAGTGTGTTTTGTTTGAGTTTTTTAAATTAAATTTTTTAAAAATTGAGTTTTTTGATTTTCATATTTTTTTATTTTTAGTGAATATTTTTAAAATTTAAAACATTTTTTTTACTTTTTTAGATTCACCTTACTTAGATGTATCTAAAAAGTAAAAAATTTGTGAAAAAATATTTTAAAGAATTAATAAATACATAAAAATACAAAAAATGTACTAAATTCTCGTATTTTTTTTTATATCCAACAAATCTTATTAGCATATTCATAAATTTTAATAAGATCCACCATTACTTAGCCTTCGTTTGGAAAGTGGGTTAACTTTTTGGCTTTTTGATTTTTTTGACTATTTTAGCCTGGGTTAAAAAACTTAGTTTGGGAAGGGCTTTTTGGCTTTTTGACTTTTTTTTTTGTGAGAGAAGAGTGTAATGATTATGGGTTGGATGTGATATTTTGTTTGTTGTGGTTAAACAGACTATTTCATTTTACGTGACTAAAATAACCAAAAAAGTTTGAAAACCTTCTTTCCAAACGGTGCCTTAATAACTTCTAAGTATGAGTAAAATTATTCAGTTTGTTTGGTTTGAGTTTTCTGGATTAAGCTTTTTGAAAATTGAGTTTTTTAGTTTTCGTATTTTTTTTTATTTTTAGTGAATATTTTTAAAATTTAATTTTTTTTTTTTTTACTTTTTTAGATTCACCTTACTTAGATGTATCTAAAAAGTAAAAAATTTGTGAAAAAATATTTTAAAAAATTAATAAATACATAAAAATACAAAAAATGTACTAAATTCTCATATTTTTTTTTTATATTTTTGGTATTTTGTAAATTTTTAAAATATTTTTTTCACAAATTTTTTACTTTCTAGGTATATTTATGTTAGGTATATCTAAAAAGTAAAAAAAATTGCTTAAAATATTAAAAAAATTCAGTAAAAATAAAAAAAATACGAAAAACAAGAAAGTAGAATTTTTTGAAAAGTATTTTTTGAAAACAGGAACCAAGCAAAGTGATTAGTATTGTGAGGACATAATTTTTGAATGACAACACGTGGCCGACGTGTCACCAAAGTGCCAGTCGAGGTGCCACGTGTCATGGTCATGATACCGAGATGATCTCGGCTAAGCCGAAGTTATCTGTGAATATGTCAGAATCCGAGATAAGCGGATAAGGACAAGAGTCCTAGAATGAGAGAATATTTCAATTTGGGTAAAGATAAGACTCTTAGAGAGTTTATCCTAATCCTACTGGGAGTCCAAGATTAACAGTAATCCTAAGTCCATTAGAGTTAGGCTTCTATTGAGACTAGGATTGAGTTTGCTATAAAAGAGAGGCACCCCATGGGTTTAAGGTATGCTTTTGATATTCTGTTTAGTGAGTTAAGCACTATTGGTTATTTTTTAGAGATACTGAGTACTGACTTGATTGTCGTAGTGTCCCCGAGTGGACGAGCCACCACCGGAATCTTCTCTTTCTGTTGCAGGTCGTTCAGGCTTAATCTATTCTGTCGATGCTCTCCAGCTGGGTACCTGTTTGGCAGTGTGGTCAGAAAATCACCCCCACAAGTATTCATACTTTTTAAGGAGTTGTTTGGGATGACTTAAATAAATGTATTTTTTATCTTTTTACGAAAAGATGTACAGAAAAGTAAAGAGGTGATGTGATAAAAAAAAGATAAAAAAATAAAAAGATGAATTATTTTGTAGTAGCCAAACTTGACCTAAATAAAAATTCTCGCAAATGCTATAACACTACATTAAATAATATTTAAATATTAACAAGGATGCATATAGTATTAGGAAAATGAGTGAGAGCACTAATTAGTGCTATCACTAATGATGTGGCAGTGAGCCCCACCATGAATGATTTGATGTTTTGGCCTTGGTGTTGTATTTTTTTTCTTTTTTTATTGAGTATCAGGTCATTAGTGGTCTTTTTAGAGCTCCAAAATTAGTGGTCTCTATCATTGTTGATAGTATTATTAACTTTGATCTCATAATTGGAATACAAAAAGATTTTAAAGTGGAGATAGATAATTGGTGAAGAATTATCAAAATAAGAGTTGAGAGTGATAATTGGGGAACGTTTCAAATACGAAAATCAAAAATCATTTAAAAGGTTGTGATAGAGCTGTAATCAATGATTTGATTATCACATTATTTTGGTGTCAAATTACTGATAATTGGCGACACTAAGGTTAAGTTTGGCTACTATAAAATAATTTATTTTTTTATTTTTTATCACATTATCTTTTTACTTTTCTGCACATTTTTTCATAAAAAGAGAAAAAGTACACTTATTTAGGTCATCCCAAACAACCCTTAAGGCCAAGTTTGCAACTCAAAAAAAAGTCAAAAAGTTAAAAAATTATCAAAAAAAATTAAAAAGTTATCACTATTTATAAAAAAATATATATATAAAAAAATAAATAAACATAATATTAAGGGCAAATTACACGTACCCCCTCGAGGTTTAGGTAAATTACGAATACCCTCTGAGATTTGAAAAATTACAAATTCCTCCCTGAATGTTATATTTGCATAACAAATTAGGAGGTAATTTGTTATGAAATTTAAACCTCAAGAGTAAATTGTTATGAAAATACAAACCTTAAGAGGCGAGATGTAATTTTCGAAACCTCAAAAGAGTATCTGTAATTTAACCAAACCTCAAGGGAGGTATATATAATTTGCCCTAATATTAAATACCAATCACGTCTACAGCAGCCTATGAACAGACCTTGTCGCATAGGAGTGAAAGGAAAAAATAAAAAATATTACATGTGTATATTGGATGGTAAAGTTGGGCCCATGGGGGCCACCACGGATCTCTTTTTTCTAATCAGAACCGTTTAATGTGTATAACCCGTTGAGTACTATATGTATGTAAAAAATCACGTTTATCGGATATCATTAACTATAGGATCAAATCAGTTTTGTATAAAAAATAGATGATGTTATAATTAACATGTGAAAAAAAAAACTAACACGATCAAATAGTTATCGATATTCAATGAACGTGATTTTTAATAAGAATATAGTACTCGACGATTTTACACATCACACGGTTCCGATTAGAAAAACGGGACCCGTGGTGGGCCCTCACGAGCCGAACAATACCATCCAATCAAAGGCCGAAAAGTAAGCAATCTTTTCCCATATACTTTTCAGCCAAGGCACTGCCCAACCGTACTGATTCATTAATTATCTTCTCCAACACATTTATTTATATAATATTTTAATACACATTTTTTTATAAAAAAGTTGAAAGTAAATCCAAATATTCATATTTTCTTCCTCGATTTTTTAGTCTAAAAAAATAAAAAATACACTTATTTAAGACACTCCAAACAACCCCTAAATCTTATTCACATCTATCTCTTGATAAAGACGAAAATGTGGAAATTTGAGTTTTGTAATTTTTCGAACAGGGGGAATCACAGTTCAATGGTTATTTTAAAAAATAATTGCTGAGTGATTATAGTTTAATATATATAAAGTTTATCATTCATTTGAAAATATTTTTATAAATTCACAATGATTTGATATATATATATATATATATATATCTTCTTCTGTTTATGACTCTACTTAACCTCATTTGAAAACATACTGTTTTTGTAGCTTGTTAGTTTTTTACAAAGAAATATGTAAAAAAATAGAAAGAGTGATGTGATAATATATTTTGACTTTTTAACATTTTAACTAAAATATATATTTACCAAACGAGACCTAACTACTTAGATTCAACTTTCTTACTATGAATTTAAACTAAACATTATTTTTCTTATAAAATTTTAAATTTTTTTTAAATGATGAATCATTTGTGATAGACAACAAACTTGTAGGATCCACTTATTAATAATTTTGAAGAAAGGTGGGTGAAGCAGGAGTCCAACATGTGAGAAGTGAAGTGAATGAAGACAGCGTCGGTGGGGGTGTTATTAGCCCAAGCATCTCTTGTCTTTAAATAGTTTTATTTTTTTTTTATTTTTTTTCTTAAATTACTTATAATTATTAAATATGTTTTAAAATTTTAAAATTTTTATATAATTTAATAATTATGAGTGATTTGAAATAAAAGAATATTTGAGAACAGAAAATCTTGCCCGTGTTATTAGTGGTGGTGGCGGTAGGAAACAGCACAGGTAGTAGTAGATGAGGTCCTGAGGACACAATAAGAAAAGAACAAGACCAAACCAAGCAACTGGATAGAGGAAGCGTGTCGTCTCCGGCGTAGGATAGCTTTTCCTCTTATTTTCCCGCATTACGATTCTTTTTTATCTTCTCTTCTTCGTCTTTTACAAACCGGCTAAGCAACAACAATGAGATCACCCAAAGCAAAGTACAGTAAAGTAAAGTAATGCTTTCAAGAAACTGTTTTCCAAAAACACTTTTCAAAAACAGTCTCACAAAATTCCTTCATTTCTCATTGCCGCCACTACCACCATAAGCGGAACAGAAAAACGGTTAAGCAACAGGAAAGGAATCATCCAAAGCAAAGCAAAGTAATCCTTCTAAGAAAGTGTTTTACGAAAACACTTACTTAAAAAACAGTCACAGCAGCAACATTTCTCATTGCTATCATGATGAGCATGAGACGAACAGAGCTGCTTTTGATTGTTTCGTTCTTGGTGCTTGGTGTTCTTGTTACGACGACGTTTGGCGCCAATGTCACATACGATCAACGAGCTCTGGTGATCGACGGCAACCGCAGGGTCTTGATCTCCGGCTCAATTCACTATCCTCGCAGCACTCCCGACGTCTCTCTCTCTCTCTCTCTGTCTCTCTCTCCCTCTGTTTTTGAATTTTCTCTCTCTAGAACTTTTGCTGTGTTCTCACACTAAATGTGTATATATATACTATAATTGATGCAGATGTGGCCGGACCTCATTCAGAAATCGAAAGACGGTGGATTAGATGTAATCGAGACCTACGTTTTCTGGAACTTGCATGAACCAGTTCGAAACCAGGTCTTATTTCGCATTGGATTGGAGTGTTTCTCGCCACTGGCCTCTGTTTGGTTCCCTAAAATAAAAATAAAAAAAACGCATACTCAAAAAAAAAATCCATGTATATGTTCTTCTTTAGTTTGAGATTTCAGAATTTGTTTCTGAAAATTAATTTGATAAAAATAAACACTAAAAAAAGAATATTTCTAAAATTATTTTGGTCCTAAAAAAATGAGAAGCTACTGAATATTAAAATAATGATTTTCTTTTTTTCTTTTTTTTTTCGCCAAACTAATTTTTAAATTTTTTTGAGAAACCGATTCAAAAAACGTAACAAAATTAATGTGGAAAGTCCGCTATTCAAAACGTAAATATCTTTTATTCAATTTTCTCACCAGCCAAACAGAGCATTTGTTTAACTCTTCCGTTTAATTTTTTTATTTTTTATTTTTTTTTTGTCAATGTCTATATTGAACTCGGAGGGTGTGCAAATAAGAACTGACTTTATTTATATTCTTGTAGTATGATTTTGAAGGAGGAAAAGATTTAGTTAAATTTGTCAAATTGGTTGCGGCAGCTGGGTTATATGTTCACATTCGAATCGGTCCTTATGTCTGCGCTGAATGGAACTATGGGTAAAGATTATAATTACAGTTTTGTTCAAACAAAAATCTTTTCTTTGTGTATATAACTATATTGACACATTTTCTTTTGTATTTCTAAACAGTGGATTTCCTCTTTGGCTGCATTTCATACCTGGGATTGAGTTCCGAACTGATAATGAGCCATTCAAGGTTTTCCTTCTCACTCTGTTCTCAGTTAAAATTTAAGATTCTGGGCAGTGTATAATCATCTGAACACCTTTTGTTTTAGGCGGAAATGAAGCGATTTACGGCGAAGATTGTTGACATGATGAAGCAAGAAAATCTCTATGCATCCCAAGGTGGACCCATTATCTTATCTCAGGTTAGTTTCTTGCCATATTTATGTAGCATTCTATGTTTGTGGGTGGTGTGTGGCTATATCTTGATAATTGTTGTTCATAAGAATTTGACTTTGTGATGATTGAGGGTTCTAATAGGAGGGTAATGATTAAATTTTGCGATAGATTGAAAACGAATATGGGAACATTGATTCGGCTTATGGATCGGCTGCCAAAACTTACATTAATTGGGCAGCAAGCATGGCTACATCTTTGGATACAGGAGTGCCCTGGGTGATGTGCCAGCAAGCAGATGCACCCGATCCTATTGTGAGTTTCATTCCAATATATTTGTGTGGCTTGTTAACATCAAAACCTAACTTTTACAGAACTTGATCTTTAATGCTTTTTGAAATATGACTACATGTTTTTACCAGCTTACATGTTCTTTTGACTGCGTACAGATCAACACTTGCAATGGGTTTTATTGCGACCAATTCACCCCCAATTCTGCCAATAAACCAAAAATGTGGACTGAGAATTGGACTGGATGGTAAGATGTCTGGCATCTTAGCCTCTCACAGTATGTTGGTTGTTTGGATCAGAAGTTAATCTTATCAATATTCAGCTTTCTTTTCTTTTAATGCTTCTATGTTTTCAACCATTACGGCTATCTGGAATGTTAGGTTTCTTTCGTTTGGCGGTGCTGTGCCATACAGACCTGTGGAAGACATTGCTTTTGCTGTAGCACGATTCTTCCAGCGAGGGGGAACCTTCCAAAATTATTATATGGTAATTCTATTTTCTTGAAAGCTATTATACTTGTTACCAGTTTTTATGACAATTGCCTGATACTTATGATTCACAGTCTGCTTTGAATCTGGTTTAAATTAATCAGAATGCAAGCTTATATATTAAATATGTTTTGATTGCTTTACCAGTACCATGGTGGGACTAACTTTGGCCGGACCACTGGTGGACCTTTCATTGCTACAAGTTATGATTATGATGCTCCAATTGATGAGTATGGTATGATTTTCTCCCTCTATCAATAATAAATGATTTGCATCCCATAAGCAACCAAACTAATACTCCAGTTTATGAAATGCTGCAATCTAGAAGTGTTAGATGTTGATAGAATGTTGTTGTTTTATAATCTGAAAGATACATATATCAACCCATAATTGAGGCTTTTCTTCTTTTATGTTTTTAATAGTTGAAGTCTGTCTTCCATCTATAAAAGGCTTTTAAAAATTTTCCCCCAATGTTGCAGGACTTCTTAGACAACCTAAGTGGGGCCACCTAAAAGATGTGCATAAAACCATAAAACTTTGTGAACCAGCAATGGTTGCCACTGGTCCAACAATTACTTCCCTTGGTCCAAATTTGGAGGTATACCTATAATTCTCTAATCCTTAACTGGTTTCTCAGGGAACTTTCTCCTCTGTGATTGACTGTGGTTCTTCAGCAATCTAATCAAACCCAAAATAAAAACAAAAATGCTTGTGTGTATCATGGTAGATGGTTTGAAATTGTCTTGCACCCAGTGATAACTCCGGAGCTTCCATGAAGCGAGTGACTGGCAGGATTCAAAAATCATTGCCTATATTAAGGAAAAAGAAATGATGTTGGTCAACAAAATTTTTTTTTATAATTCATGCTGTATACTTTATGAATAGAATTTGTTGTTCTTAAAAAGGGATGTTCCCCATTTCAGGCAGGTGTATATAAAACTGGGTCAGGTTTATGTGCTGCTTTTCTTGCCAATGTGGATACCCAATCTGATGCAACTGTGAATTTCAATGGCAATTCATATAATTTACCAGCATGGTCTGTGAGCATCTTACCCGACTGCAAAAATGTAGTGCTAAATACTGCAAAGGTTTGCCTCATTTGCTCAAATTATGTCTTACATTTTACCGTGCTACTACACAAGAACTCTGTTTGCAACAAGCCTTTTCCTTTTAATATACCTATTGGTTTTAAATTACATCAGCATGTTTTTGAAGAGGGGTTTCATTTTCTTTTATTTTTTATTATTAGCTCAAGTAAAACAGTGTGTGATGAAGGTTTGCTTTTTTATCCATATTTATTGCGTTTGTATAAAGAGCTACAATCAGATGATGCAGTATCTTCATGGAACTCCATTTCATACCATAACAGCTAACTTATGTTCTCTTTATTTTAAAAAAATTAACAACCAAATTTCCCTTTTAATAAATATGGGGCTATAAAATATGAATCTCTCTTTATTCCAATAACAAGATAAGCTAATTTGTGTTATTTTTATGTGACAGATTAATTCTGTGGCTACAATTCCACAATTCACGCGTCAATCATTGAACGATAATGTTGGTGCTTCTAAAGCATTCCTGTCAGGCTGGAGTTGGTTTAATGAACCAGTTGGTATCTCAAGTAACAATGCATTTATGCAACTTGGGTTAGCAGAGCAAATAAATACTACAGCTGACAAAAGTGACTATCTTTGGTATTCACTAAGGTATTAAAAACCTTTTGTTTTAAAAATTTGTGATCTGAATCCAATGGCTTTGATATGTTTGATATCTTAATAACAATTCCTGGATACTTTTGCAGCACTAACAGTCAAGATGGGTCCCAAACAGTTCTTCATGTGGAATCACTTGGCCATGTCCTTCATGCTTTTATTAACGGGAAACTTGCAGGTAATGGGTACTAAAAGATGTTGCAACGACATGAGTTTATTGGACGGTTTTTTTTTTTTTAAAACAATTGTTTCTTTTCTGTTTTTATCTCTTTTGGAGGTTATATTTGATGTTTCTTCTTTGTGTCTTCTACTGACTTATACCCCATCAATTATTGTGGAGGCATAGACTTATTTGACTACCCTGCAAGAGATACAGATAAATTGGCATCTTATTTTGATTCATCACTATGTGGCATAATTGTGATGGAGATTTATCTCTTTTGAGTATACCATAAGTTGTCCGGACATTGTTTTATTTTTTAAAAAAACTACACTCAGTTTAGTCCCAATTTGATGGGGGTTCTGGGAGGGGTGAATTGGGCATAAACTTAATCTTTTGCATAATTCGCACAAAAAGGCACACTCACATATTATGGGTTCTCCTTTGCTTCATTAAAAATGTCCTTTGAACCATTTGAAATGCTTATTAGATAAACCATATTCACCAAGATATAAATTTTGTAAGGCTGCCAAATGAATAAATGTTTGCTTGAACATTATAGTTTTAATTTCTCTGTCTATAGTGCCTAAAAAGTCAAATTGTTCATTGTAGGGAGTGGCGAAGGGAACAGAGGCAATGCTAAGGTTGCCATTGAGGTTCCCATTACACTCGTCCCTGGAAAGAATAGAATCGATCTCTTGAGTTTGACAGTTGGACTTCAGGTTTGACCTTCCTGATTTAGATTTATGTTAGCATTCATCAAAAATGAGATTGTTATCTAGAATGTAGATTATATTCTTAAATGGTGCTACCATGAGGAGGATTAGTTTAGACAGTCTAAATATTACTGGAAAGTAATTTTTATCTAACAGAACCCTATTAACATTGTCCAGAACTATGGAGCATTCTTTGACACATGGGGTGCTGGGGTTACTGGACCGGTGAAACTGAAAGGTCTAAATAATGGATCTACCATTGATCTATCCTCACAGAAGTGGACATATCAGGTAAGTTTGTTTTGATTTTCACAATATCCTCTTATATTCAATTCCTAAATAGTAATTCAATAGAAACTGGAAATTGAACTGGCAAATTGAAATGTCATTTTTAGTGCAACAAATTTTTGTTGTTATTTCTAATTGATTAGAGTATATGACCTGACATATTTTCGGCTTTGTAATGCTACAAGTTTGATTTGATCGAAGAATTAAATGCAGTAACATTCAGCTTTTCACTCTCATTTTGTCTCTTTTGGTGCAGACTGGACTGAAAGGCGAAGAATTAGGCCTCTCAGGTGGAGGTTCTTCAGTTTGGGTATCAAAACCCACTTTACCCAAGAACCAACCCTTGATTTGGTACAAGGTAATATTATGTTCTTTCTTTTTTGCTTACAATTTAGCCAAATTGAGGGATTCATTGTTGTAGGGATGGGATATCAATGACTTGGATTGTAGTCTCAAAAAATAATAAGTACTTGATTTTATGCTTATGGGACATACACCTTCATATTGCTATATCATGTTCTAATACATAATAGATCATTTTCAGAGCAAATTACTTCTCTTGGTAGTTGTATTTATGGATTTCATGCAACAGAACACAAGACTCTGAATATATTCGACTGCAAGTTGTTCAAGAACTGTTTAACCATGTCAAGATCTTTTTATTTAAACTTGAAAATTGTGTTGGTCCTGGATTTTGGTAAATAAATGGCATCATTTTGGTTTCTATTTAGGCAATATAATAATAGCCAAAAGTGGTTGTTTACTTGGAAACTACTTTGCAAGTTGGGTTCAATTGTATCTTTAGTCTTTATCCAAGCTTACTCTCTCTTGCTTTGTTATTCAGACAAATTTTGATGCGCCATCTGGCAATAATCCAATCGCACTAGACTTCACAGGGATGGGAAAGGGAGAGGCATGGGTGAACGGGCAAAGCATCGGGCGTTATTGGCCAACTAATAACGCTCCAAGCGGTGGTTGCACCAACTCCTGCAATTACAGAGGCCCTTACAATTCAAACAAATGCCTCAAGAATTGTGGCAAACCATCTCAACAACTGTAAGTTTCAGACTTTTTGTCTAAAACTTATTGTAGTTCTAATGTGATCTCAGTTTTGATCTTATTGATCTTGTAGGTACCATGTGCCTCGTTCATGGTTACAATCTAGTGGGAACACCCTAGTGCTGTTTGAGGAAATGGGTGGCGATCCAACACAATTATCTTTTGCTACCAAACAGATTGGAAGTTTGTGCTCTCACGTTTCAGAGTCTCACCCACAACCCGTGGACATGTGGAGTACAGATCAAATGACAGGAAAGAAATCCGGACCTATGCTATCACTTGAATGCCCTTTTCCTAATCAGATCATTTCTTCAATCAAGTTTGCAAGCTTTGGAACTCCTCATGGTACTTGTGGAAGTTTTAGCCACGGCCAGTGTAGCAGCAGTGGGGCTCTTTCCATCATACAGAAGGTGCACCGGAGTTCTGTTTATCTCTCTTTGAATCATTTTGATTATCAAATTTCACTTAAAGAGCACAATTTTTTTGTAGGCCTGTATTGGATCGAAGAGTTGCAACATTGGAGTGTCGATTGACACGTTTGGCAACCCGTGTGTTGGAGTGACCAAGAGTTTAGCTGTAGAAGCTTTCTGCACATGAAGTGATCTTTGATTCTTGCAATGTAGCATTGTGTTGTCTGGGGTCCAACCAAAGCTGTGTCCCCAGGTAAATGTAAAATCGAATAAACATTTTAATTGGTTAATAAATTTGAAACAATATATATATATAATTACTTAAAATCTTAAGAAAAAGAGAACAATTAACTTCCAACATTATATACATCATCTGGTCAGCAGAATTGATATCTGCGTTAAAACTATCCCACTAATAGAAAAAGAAACCCTAACAAACATAAACTCACCTCGACATTATATCACACATCTTCCATCACAAATGCAAGTATAAAACAGGGGTTAAAGAGAAAAGAAAAGAAAAGAGACGAGACGAGACAAATCAGCAGTTCTTTTACTCATTTGTTATACCATTGATACTATTGAAATATAGGAAGATCAATTTTGGGTTGTTGGTAAAAGCTGAACTCTTCTCCAACTGCAACAATGCTGCTACTTGAGGCTCCTTCTACGACCTCACCAACCATCTTCAAAAAGTAACTATGCCTGCACAAGCAAATGTTTAAAACCTCGTATAAAATTATATGATAACTATATGATAACGAACAGTAAATATATATTATATACCATCGTGTGTCTGCCGTCAATTCCGGATGAAAGGCAGTCCCTAGCAAGTTTCCTTGCTTCACAGCAACGATCACTTTATCTGCCGTACCAGTACTTTCCTGAAACATAAAAACAATTTGTGCTGTGAAAAAATACGTGACCTGATATCAGAAAGTCCCCGGTGTCCCCGGTTTCAAAAGGGCACAAAAATTGAGTATGGTTATTTTGAATCACATATTATTATTTTTGGTGACTGGTCTGATTAAGGGTTTTCTTTAACTAGATAATTTAGTATTTGTAAACAATAATTCTTACAAAAAAGTGACTTGGGCAGTGTCTAATGTGGCGGCCTCAATTTAATCAACATTTTTGGCCCCCGACTCATTTTGATAATGTATGACAAAAAGAGCCCCAAAAGGCCTTCCTCTGTAGTTTAAATTCATTAAATTAAAGCTAGTACATAGATATAGGCACGATGCGATTCCAACACTAGGTATGATACCAATGAAATCTGAGCGTAATGCATAGGCTTTTTCCCCTTGTAAATTTTTCTACACTGTTAGCCTCTAAAACCACAAAACTAGATCTGTATTAGTCCCTATATAAGCCTCAAGCATCATAGTTCCCCAACCCTAGTAGCACCTTGGCTTGCAAAATATCACTAAAGCTGAAAAATTATTGTTTCACGAACACTTTATTCTCCAAACACTACAAACCCTTAAAATCTTAGATATTTTTCACTCATTTCAATCATAAAAACTAACCACAAGCAGTCCTAAGTAAACTCCCTTTGCTAACTACGGGCTCACTTCTTGTATATGAGTGTATTTTAAGAAGCAACTCGTATTTTAAGAAGCAAAATCATGAATGATAACAGAAACTGCTATCTAAATCCGTAAGGAGTGATGCCACCAACATATACCATCTCCAGGAGAATAACAAAAAACAATGCCTCAGTATACAAGAAAAATAATTAGATGCACAATAACAAACTCTATCAAAATTCTTAATTAAGACCCCGAGGAACAGATCATTGTGATTGTGACCAGAAAGATCATCTTTTCAGTGATGTGCACAATCTATCAGAACGGGGTAATGATAGAGAGCTCTAAAATGAGCTCTACTGAGGTAGCAATGGGAAAAAAAACAAAAAAGCTAGCACAAACATCACATCATTGTGGGATCCAGCTCATTCGAGCTGTTTTACAGCTCATGTTTTAGAGCTCTAAAACATTTTCATAAGGAAGATAGTGTAGTTGATTAACCGATATTAAAAAAATTAAACTAATCATAAAAAATAGAACAATATGAAGTTTGGCTGCTTTCAGAATAACATAGATAGTAATTTATGATTAAATTTTTAGAATAAAAAAAACAACTCTTTTCTCTAATCCATCTGACGATCAATAAAATATTCATTTGATTGGGAAACCAAAAATTGATATTTTCCAAAACCATTCAAGTTAATTTCTAAATTTCCACATAAAATATAAATTATGTTGGACATTGAATAATAATGTTGTATGGCGTGAAGACAACTTTATAGACAGAAAATTAAGGTACCAGACATTCCGTAAAAATTGCCTCAAAATTCACTATAAGGCCAAATCAAGTTCGTGTAATCAGCTCTCTTTTTTTAGAACATAGTTCCCTAGCTTAAAATTGACCAGGAATACCTTACTTACCTTACTTCATTGACTGCTGCACAAAACTGAAAATAAGATGTAAACTATTTGAATCTAACTTTTTCTCTTTTTTCTTAATTAATTCCATCACAGCACAATCAATTCTACCTTCCAGAACACTCAAACTAACGTGTAAATGTATTGCAACTCATAATTTCCTGCTCGTAAACTAAAATTGTTAGCTATCAATTTCATCAATTGCTGATGTTGATTGCCCCACAGTGAGTAAACCATCCAGCACATATAGAACAGACCAGTACATAGTGGATTTTTCACATCATGTGCTCTACACAAGCACAAGTTACAAATGTTTTAAGTTTATTTGACATATTTTCAGATATTTCATTTTCTTCACATAGACAGTAACACATAAACTCAACTCCTAAAAAACCTTGATAACAAATGAGTGAGTGATTACTACCTGGAATCATTTCCCAATATTAGATTTCAGTGTTCCACACGTGAGCACTAGGCCTTATCTTCTTGGATAAGTCAAAAGGGAAATTATTTTCCCCCTAATGTACGGTCAAACTCAAGGTTAAAAAGGGATGATTGCAGATAGAATGCCCAAATTTTCTCTTCCCCTTTACTAAATTTGATGATCAAAAAATCTTATCATTTCCTTTTTCTCACACCATGCTAATGAACTCCAGTGGTGAGGTCAGCCCGTCTGAGAAGCTGGTGTTTGCAAACCAAGAACTTAGCAGTTCCTACCTAATCGTTACATGGTCTGCCAAGTCCAGGTCTAAGTTTATAATTATGAGTACATAGAAGTAGCCCCTTGAGAATAAAATCCTTAAACATTTCCTTAGATTTCTCCCTTACGAGTGACAATAAACACTACTTAAATGTAGCCTTTTGCAGTGGAGAAATACAATAATTGCAATAATAACACTAAAATTAACAACTCTAATAATAAGATTTGTAAGACCACTAGTTGTCCCAAAAGCTCAAGTTATTAGGAAATGAGTGCAACTATAAATCTAACACACACGCACCTCATGTGTGATTGCCTTGCACATGGAGAGGCTAACAAATATAACTAAACGGGGGAATAATAGGGGCACAAACGCAGATTACAAGACTTCCTGGAACCGAAGCTCTAATACCATATTTGATCACCAATTATCCCAAAAACTTTAGCTATTAAAATATGGGCCCAACAATGTATGCCAAACTATTTCACAACATTAACGGCGGTGTTGATCAAAAAACAGGTATTAACTACCAATTGTGATAATTAACAATAATGATAATAATAATATGATTATTGTAAACAAACAAAATAATGGGCAGAAAAAAAGATAAATCTGAAAAAATAAAGAAGTTGGTTAAATGTTGAGTCCACCGCTACATGTCCTAATCAGTTCAACTTCGACCAAATATGTATCCAGAGATCCCAAACTTTATCTATCTGAAAAAATAAAGAAGTTGGTTAAATGTTGAGTCCACTGTTACATGTCCTAATCAGTTCAACTTCAACCAAATATATATCCAGAGATCCCAAACTTATCTGGTCATTAACCCTCCAAAAAGTCTTAGATCTAAGAGCAGATCTTATGCTTATAGGTGCTTGGGTTAGCATGCACTTTTAGCCATTCAGTTTTCTTTTTAATTAAAACCTAACATAATGATAGATTATTTGTTACGTGGGGGATAAAAAAGGAATCCAGCAATTGATCTAAAGTCAGTAAGAAAATTTTAGTCCTGAGCTTTCACTTTGTCAAACTATATTTAGAAGGTTACTAACTGTAAATAGAAAGTACCATTCAAAATGGTAAGGACGTAATTTTTTAACTTCCGTAATTTAAAGAAGAGAAACTGACTCAGCATTAAAAAAATAGCTTATACTGATCCAGAAATCAGATGCACTGTACCATAACAATCACTGGATCACTCCAGGTTGTCCATAAATCTTTCAAAGCTTTTACATTCTTTTAAATTTAACATAATATCACAAATAAAGATAAAAAGAGAAATAATTTTTGAGAATACACAAATTTAAGAAAACAAAAAAAATACAACCCCTCGCTTGGCTGCAAGTTCAACAGGGCAACCACTTCTTAACATCAAACTTTAATTACATAAGTAGATAATTGTTACTTGCATACAATTAAACATTATTGACCATATAAACAAGTTATGACATGTAACAAGAAATAAGCAAATGCAGGCACAGCAAAACCATCAAAATACTGCCTGTACAATACTGTAACAGGAATAGCACAAATATACTCCAAGTAAACAATTGTGTAGGAGAATATGTCTAAATTGAATAGCATAATCAATTTAACATTAAATATTGCAGTCATGCACTCAATAATAAATGATATTTAAAAAAGAATAAAGAAAAATAAAAAAAAGGGCTAATAGGTGCAAACCTCTTGGCTATCAAGAGTAGAATTTGGATCAACTGTTTTGTTAGATGGTACAAGAATATCAGCCAGCACTTCAACATCAGGTCCCACTTCGAGGATTGCAGGAGCTCTGATAAAAACCCCTCGAAAAGTTGGAGGGCCACCTTCTTTAGCCGCAATAGAAGGTACTAGAAGCTCTGCCTCAAAACTCTGAATCTGTATTATTATTATTTTTAATTTAGAAATGATAAAATTGGTTCAGAAAAAGTATGCATCTACTTAAAAAAAATCAACTACCTTGTCATCACTATAGTAGACTAATAAAATAAATTCGCTCCTAGTGCAGCTTTGATTTCATGAAATGCATAATGATTACATTATTTTTGTGCTGACATGAAGCTACAGAGTGAAAAAAATGCAATGTCAAATTGCTAATTAAGACTTCAGGTGCATGAACTAGTTTACAGAGGTAGTTGTAGATCTAAAATAACTAGTGAATTAAACTGCACAGCACTATGCTTTAAAAATTAAATTTTAGCCTAAATTTTCAATTTTTGAATTTGTCAAATCTGACTTCAGCATGTGTTTTTAAACATGCATTCCATTCACTGCTTATTGTCATTTTGCATCCTTCATAAACATGATACTCAAGTATGGAAAATGATAAGAATTACCTGACTGCCAAAGAAGTTCCGGTGAACAGTACAATCAAGGCCCCCAACTAGTTCTTGCCCACCAGTTTTCTGGCCTAAAAAGAGACACAAAATGATATTATATGCTTTTGTTTCCAAAATGTCAATAATAGAAACAAATCTTGTTTAAAAATGGAATTACATCACTGATAAATCAGTGTAATGCTAGGAGAAAATAGTAAAACAAAAACCCACCCGAAGCTTTGTTTGCCAAGAAGATAAGCCCTGCACAGGTGCCCCAAACAGGCTTCCCCATTTTAACAAACTCACGCAAAGAAGGAAACTGCAAGTATTGAGGAAATGAAAGTAATGATGACAGTGAAAATAATGACGGACTTTGGTTGCCCAAAGTCTGAGGGGACAAAATGAAAAAATAAATAAATAAAAAATTGACAAGTCATTTTATGTGGCCTAAGAATAAAAACCTCCATTCATCTGGGCCCAAAACAAATGATATGGCTAAGATCAGTGAAGTATTCATCTATTGTAGCTTTATTGTTCTCTTTCTTTGCCTAAGATCAGTGATCTTAGCATGATATGGCTAAGATCAGTGAATAAAAAAGAAGACATAGAATTCAGATTTTTGTTCTCTTTCTTTCTCCCTTTATTGTAGCTTTCTTTTTCTCAAAGCCCTTTTATTTTACTATTTTAAATCACATAAATCCTTGTACTTTATTATGTTTCCTTTTTTGTGAGAAAACATGGATTTGATGTTCCCACTTCCCAATATAGATTATATATTTATAGCTCAAGAACGAAGAAACTGTAAGGCTCATGAAATGGCAATCTAACATTACTATCGTGTAAGTTATTGCACAATGTGCACATTGTCACAAATAGCAAATTCAAAAACTAAATGCTTGTTTCACTACGGCGAACACTAAGTTGCTTCTTTGTGTGGCATGTTAGAGTACCTCTAACTCATTCTCTAGTTTTAACAATAAAAAATTGATCCATCTCACTGACTTTCATATTTATTCAATGGAGTTCATGCTACTTCATGATCAGCTTAATACTTACATTGTTGCTATGCGCTGTAGTGGTGATTTCTCAATGCTAATGGAACTAGTGATCTAGCCCAAAAAAAATTATGAAGATTCAAAAAGACCAAATATTTCCATTAGTTTACTTGCTTCTGACATATGTTATCAAAAAACACTAATACCCTAGCGCTTTACATATTGGTACGTACGTTCCGAAGCATGGTACACTTTCGTTCCAAAATGATAAATTTAGTGATCCGATGCTATCCAAGTTTTTTCCAATATATTTCTTTGAATGTTAACTTAGGAGAAAAAAATCAAATATATAAACTAAAATTTAAGATAAGTTAAGTTTTGATAAGACAAAAATATCAAAAATGAGTTATCATTTTCATAGAACTGATTTGCTGCGTGAAAAAAATAAATAAATAAATAATTTGGATATCTAATAGTTAAAAAAAATTACTCTAAAAATACCTTAAATTCTTAAGTGTAATATATATAAATCTACTATTATTGTACCACATTTTAGAGTATGTAGTGTATTACGTTCCCATTTCCGTTTCATATACCGGAGCAATTCGCATTCTAGGTAACATAGGTTCTGACTTCTTATTGGTTGCAAGTTGTAACCCCTGCTCTTAAGAGGGCATTTTCAACTATAAATATTGTGAGGATTCGGTTGTGCAACCAGATGACTAATCAGAATGATACAATCATCCAAAGCTTCCAAAACATGAAAACTTATCCTATCAATTGTAAAAGTACACATTATAAACTTCATTATTATTATTATTATTTATTTTGCTCAAAAAACTCCTAATCAACATTTGAAATTTTTTTATTTATTACTATCACAAGTTGTTGATTATGACTGAAAAAAACAGAGATTGTGATTAATAGTTGGCCCAGTGGATTAATTTATACAGCTGAGAGCGTGATACGAAGCAAAGATATGTATATTCTAGGGCAAAGATATGTATATTCTAGGGCAAATTATGCCGATAGTCCCATACTTTGATTTTTGTGTCACTTTAATCCCTACAATTTTAATTGACTCAATTTAACACTAAATTTATGATTTTATCTCAATTTAGTACAATTGATTAAACTTATATTTTTTTTTTATAAAAAATGGACACATGAGCCGCATGTGTTATAATTTATCGTTCCACTAAATGCCGATTTTCCTTCAAAAAATGCATTATTAATTAGACCAAATTCACATAAAATCTAAAATTAAAGATGGATAATTGAAATTATAGAGACAAAGAGATAAAATACTAATGAGTATTATAAATATATGTATGAGAGAGAGAGCGAGAGGGTACCAGATTATGATACTCAGCAAGCTTGGCCATGGTGGTGCTCTCTCCTCCAGGGATGATGAGAGAGGTCACGCTCTGGAGCTGTTCTGGCTTCCTTATCTCCACACCCTTCACACCCAGTCTTCTAAGCACTGCCCCAAAACACACAAACATAAGATTCAAGTCCTTGTACGAAACCATTACGAGCAAGGCATATACATACAAACAAACATGTATGTATGTATTGAAGAGAGAGAGTGAGAGAGTGAGAGAGAGAGGTGACCTGCGATGTGTTCGTTGAAAGATCCCTGTAAAGCGAGGACACCAACGGCCATTGTTGTTGCTTCAATTCAACAACCACAGCCTTGTGAATGAGTAACCCTATTCGATTCAAGTTCAATTTGATTAGACACACAAACACAATCGAATAACTAAACCCGCAGGCCCTTTCGTTTGCTTTCGCAAGACCCGTGCTTGACCTTGCATCAGTGATGCCGAACAATGAAATGGTTGGCGGCCGTGATGCTGGAACTTTTTGGACCCACCAATTTTTTAAATGGAATTTTTTTTTAAAAAAAATCTTCTAAATTGGCAAAATTATATTTAAATACAAATAACTCGAAAACATGGGTTATTTTAATTGATTTTTAATTTTTTTTTAAATATTTATAAAAAAATAAAGATAATGATGTTATAACTTATAATGAATTTTTAACTAAAAATTCAATTCTCCAAATAGGCCATATATTTTTTTTACAAGTACAATGGGGTGTGGAGAAGTTATTGGTCTTAGATTGTGATTAATGAAATGATGAAATCTATAAATTTGTATTGTTGGGTGATTGGAGAATACGATAACCTATGATGAATTGTGATTAATGTGGTGTGTGATCACATGACGTCCCAAGATCTACTAGCAATTTTTTTGAGATGTGATGGTTTAATTTGACCTGTGTTAAGATAAAGTTTAATATCCAATTGAATTTTTTGGCTTTATTTGTTAAGTGATGGTATGATTTTGTTGATTTTGTATAAAAGAGCTAATCGTATATGATATTTTAAAATGCTTTATAAAACTTGAAGAATTTCTCATATTGGAATAAATGAAAAAAATTAAATTTGCTCTATAAATGGCTTTTTCCCCTTTTATTTATTTACTCATCACAATAACTGTATTATATTGATTGCTTATCTTTTAATATTCAAGTGGTTAATGTATAAAAATATTTAAATGTATTATTTTAATTTATTCAATTTATATTGGTGTATAAAATTTTAAAACTAAAATATATGAAAACATATGGAAAATCAGAATTTCAACCGATTTTGAAGTAATGTATCAAAAAAATTTCATGCACCTATAATATCGCCATTTAAAATATTCTCATTTAAATGCAAATTTCCCTTTTACATTCTTATTTTTAGTTTTCTTTTCTTTTATTCAATTGGCAAGATTTGTGTGAAAAATATACCAAACAAAAGCATATGAAAGTATAATTGTCAGGACCAGCTCACCGTATCCAAGAGTTAAGTATTGTAATAGTCAGTAATTAAAGTTATCTACGGTCAATTCTTAAACAAATTAATAAACACGAGTAGAAGTAATATTTAAGTGAGAGTATCAAAATAATCATTAAAACTCGTATTTAATTAAATTGTCAAAACTGAACTATATCTACGAAGTACTTTGTGCCTACCCCACGCACTGACCCTGACATGTCGCCTAAAAGTGGTAAACAACTATAAGCACATGACAGAGTGAGAAATATTGTACTAAGAGCATAAAGATATAAAATTTACCATGGATACTTATAGGGCTAAACAGAGATTAGTTTGGTAGCTGAAATACATAATTAATTTTAAATTAACAGAAGTAGAATACGGAAATCATATAAGCAAATAATCATAACCACGATACAGAACAAAATAGAACAGGGGTCACCAGAATGACAATTAGAACATTGGTCAATAGATCTATGACAAACAGAGGACCACAAAGTGGTTAAACAGGTGTCAATTATTATTTAAGTCTCCCAAGGTATGGGACTCCTGCGGTAGTACTTACAAAAAAATAATTATTTACAATATTATTGTCAAATACTTTCTAAAATTTAAACAAACATATTTATATGTTTCAATTTAAACAAATAGAGATCAGAAAATAATTTACCTAATCAAAATAGTAATATCATTTATAAAATATAAATTACATAAAATAAATTATAATAACTCAAAACATACGAAAAATATATTATAATAACTCAAAATATAATATAACTTCCGCACCATAATTTATGTTTTTCGTTTCTCAAACCAGCAACCTATTTATAGTTGGTGAGACTTCATTAGCTTTTGCCTCGTGGCAATTTCAAGCTTAGCCACCTGTCCCACAGGTGGCATTGTTGCCTGTTTCCCCGTGTCCCATTTGATATGATGATTTTACTAAGCTACATGTACATTTTCAACACCCTATGTACTAGGGTGGTGACAAGGCATTGCATATATATGTATATCTATATTTATTTATTTATTATTTCCACCTCAAATTTCTTTTAATTAACCTTGACTCACACATTATAAATCGTATATATTTTTTTAATTGTGGTTAAATAATATTAGTATGAAATTTAAAGAATAATTAAAAATTTGACTTAGGGTGTCCTAAAAAAGTACACTTTTTATCTTTTTACAAAAAGATGTGTAGAAAAGTAGAAAGGTGATGTGATGAAAAAAAGATAAAAAAATAAAAAGATTGATTATATAGGTTATGCCAAACCTAGCCTTATTACAATCTTCTCTCCTTTTAAAAATTTCGTTCTCGAAATTTTTTATATGTGTAAACTATCCGCTACGCACCTTGATAAATATATATTTAATGATTAATCTGATATAAAATATTATCTCAAAAAAAATTACCAAAACAAATCACTATTTATTTGTCAAAACATTTTTGAGCCAAAATGAAAAATAATGGGTGATTTAAAAAACTTTTCACTGGTTTTATTTTTGATAAAAATAAAATGAGAATATAATGACAGAATCATATGCAAGAGTTGAAAGAATTTGATATAAACTTTCCATTGATGAGAAATAGTTTCAAAATCAGTATTTTTTTATAAAGTTTTTTTTTTTTTTTATAAATTTTGAAATAATAGAGATTTGAACCTACTTCCAAAAAGTTAAATATTTTTTTTTTTTTTAAAGATTTAGTATACCTGTTCATAATTTGTTTTTCTTCAAATTATTCAACATATATATGTAAGATACATATAATTTTATATAAAGTAACAAATAACTCATCTTAATTACAAAATTTACTAAAATACCATAATTATATATACCACGATTGTTGTTACATAAATATTTAATTTAAATATAACTTGTAATCTAGTTCAACGCTTCCCCCATCCTATTTGTGCATGTGTCTTATGCTCTGATATTTTTATAAAAACTTTAAAAACCTAGGCTCTTATACCACTTGTCACGACCTGCTCCTCATACCCAAGGATTAAGTATCGTGATGGATAGTAACTGGAGTTACTTACGGCCAATTCTTGAACAAATTAATAAACGCAAAATAATATAATATTTAAGTGAGAAATAATTATTTTTGTACCCTCACTTAAATATTATTTCCACTTGCGTTTATTAATTTGTTCAAGAATTGGCCATAAGTAACTCCAGTTACTGGTTATCACGATACTTAACCTTTAAGTAAGGGGCGGGTCGTGACAATAGTAAAAAAAATTATAAAAAACTTATACATTTTTTTTAATTTGGATATCTTATATATAAAGGTTCCCATTTTTTTAAATGCCCATAAAATGATAAATTATAGTGGACTATCATAAAATTTTAACAATTATCTTCCCATCGTGAACTCACAATTAGTTGGAGATTATTTTAAGTTAAAACATAAAAATTAAAAACATCTCTCTCCTAGCTTTTAAAAATTAATTTTTGCAGTTTATATAAACTATTTATCACCAATAATTTATAAGTAGAACCAAATAATCTGATATAACCCCCAAATTAAAATAAATTTTAAGTTACTTGTAGGTAATCCCCACCAAACACACTGAATGAATCATTAGTTATAATAGTCAAGTTGGAATGTCCACTTGAAATAATTACGTTCTTAAAAATATATATATATATATATATGAAAAGGTAAATTACACTAATACTTCATTTATATTTTAGGAAATGCTACAACATCATACACAAATTATGATTATTCGTGAGTGTGATGACATAATCTTATGATTTGGGAGATTCTATTATAAATATCTCATATCATATGCACCATTAGTTATATTATTTTTTTTTTTAATTATGATTATTTTTTTTTAATTATAATATTATTTTAAAATATTTGGTTATATATATATTTTGTGTTTGATTAGTTATAACTTAAAAAATATAAAATTATATAATTGTTTTTATAATTACAAAATATATATGGTACACACCATTTAAATAACGTATATCGTAAGCTTTTTTTTTTTCCTTATGATTTGAGATAAATAAGCAACAAGTTATACTTTTGATGGGTAATCACGAGTTAAAAGTTGGATGACATAATCTTGTGGTTGAGAAGAAAAATAGTTGAGAGCATTAAAAGTGATGTTTTAATAGCAGTACTAATGATGTGGCAGTGGGCCTTGCCTACCAGGGCCGACCCTGGGCATAGGCCCACCAGGCCATAGTCTAGATCCCCTCAAAATAGACCCAAAAAAGGGTTCCTCTTATTATAATTTAGTATAATATATTAAGTATGTTTTAAGTAAAAAAAAAATTGAAGAAAGCCTAAACTAACTTAAAATAAATTGATCCATTCAAAAATTGAAAGGCCCATTTAAAAAAATTAACATTGCTATCCATTGACAATATAACCAAAAAAGGACCCCTCTTATTATAGTTTAGTATAATATATTAGATATGTTTTAAGTCCAAAAAAAAATTAAGAAAGGCTCAAACTAATTTAAAATAAATTGACTCATTAAAAATTTGAAAGGACCCTTTAAAATAATTAGCATTGTTATCCATTGAAAATGATTTTGCAAAAAAAATAGGTTATGCAAGTATGATTGATTTATTTTGTGAAAACCCGCATTTAATTATCCTAAAAATAAAAATAATAATAATAATAATAATTAATTAATTAATTTTATTTAGAGTTTATCTGAAATATATTAGTGTATAGGTTAGTTTTAAATTAACCAAATTCAATTACTAACAAAGATATTATAAAAAAAATAATAATTTTGTGGATGTTCAATATTTATTGTTTATAAATTATTTTAATAAAGATTCAACGTGATAATTATTCTTACTAAATACCTTAGTTAAAAATCTTAGTGTATCAATTATAAGAAACTCACATAAATACACACAAAAATATATATATATTCGGCAGATTTCAAGTGGCAGCATTGCCACTTGGTTGCATGCACAGTGGTATAGAACATAGCCTTTGGAAATTGAAGATTTGGTTACATAGAATGAAGAGAGAGAGAG